ATATATATATTTTTTTAAACGAAAAACTTCCCAACTGAAATCTTCTTCAACTCTCAGAGAAACAATGCGAGGCAGCAACTTATTTTGTAGGATTTAGAAATACATGCCCTAGATATAACAGATGTAAACCACACCTTAGATTAATGTGGGAATAAAAAATAAACTCACAAATACTGCTTCTTCTTTGTACCTTCTCTTGAATGACAGTAACGAAAAGGCTCCATTTCATGCTATAACGAGAAACTCAACATCAGTGCATATCACAAAATCGAATTAAAATTCCAATCTATAAGCTGCACAACTCGTTTCGTGATCTTGAAGATTTACTGTGCATCGACTAGCCGAAGGCGCCACGTCGATCTTATTTTCGATCAGTGTGTCTTGGTTGAGTGCCATCCAGTAACCCAAGGTGTCGGTTTCGTAGGTTGGTATGATAGTTACTTCAGAATCGTCTTTCCAACTTTTCTTTGCCTCTAAAAGGGAATTCAATACTTCTTTGCTAGGATTAATACCACTGAATACGTAATAACGAGCTCGTATTCTCATGAAGAATTCGTAATTCGAATAATGAGGATCTCCGTGATGAGGTACGTATGCCAAATCTACGTAGACTGGTTGCACCGAAGAGGTATTCGTCTTCATCTTGTTGCTTTTGTCCATTCTGGATGTCATCTTCATTTTAACATTTTCTGTAGACGAAGTATTCGATTTTTCGATCTTCGACTTACCCGAAGAAACTCTAGTCGACGACGTCTTAGATTTTGTTTCCGGTGGTGAAGGAAGACCCATCGGTTTGCTCCAATCTTCTAGCCGAAAATCTTTCGAAGAATCTTTCTGAACGTGTTCCGAATACTGATGTTCCAAAAGATCATCTTTATCTTCCGAATGATAATCGTTCTTCATATAACCGAAAGACATGCTAGAGAAAGTTTCTTTCTCTACAATCTCCTTAGGATCTTTGGAGTCCAGATAAATGTCGTTAATGCTGGTCGTATCAGAATAGTGTTTCTGTCCCATATCACTCTTGAACAGTTCCGATGATGATGGAACAGTGTGATTATCTGTTCCATAAGCATCAGAAAAGTCTCTTTTGTAAAAACTTGCCGAATCGTGTCCCTCGTTTCGGAAAGAATCTGCTTCGAATCCAAGCAGACTGTTATTTTTCCAAGGTTCCATTTTATGTCCATTGATATCTGAGGATAAACCAACACCGTTTGTTGTTGTACTATACGCGAATTCCTTTCTTTCGGAAACAATAGTGTCACCATCTGAAGATTCTGTTGTTGTTTGGAAAGCATACCGTGAAATATTATTAGGATGATCACTGTCCACATTACTTCTTTCGTTATCACCGTAATATCCTTCTTCGGTTACCTCAGCAAACTCGCGATGTGCATCTTTGTGATAACTTTCATAATGTTCGAAATGTGCCTCTCCACTTTCGAAGTAGTGACTAGTGATTGTTTCTTGCTTTTCTTCAATGTATTTACCATTAGTATTTGATGCTGTAATATTTTCTGCATGTTCCTCGGTACTATCGGATGTAATTCTACTTTGTTCTTTATCGATTATATATGAATCGTGTTGATCATGCAATTTATCGGTTTTTTCATCGAGGTATGTTCCGAAGTCTTCGTCTTCCTTTCTATCTGCTTCGGCATAACTCTCGTGGAAGCTCTGGTCCATAGGATGAGAATTGAACATACTGCTTGATGTAATATCGTAATGCTCTGTTGTGTCTTCTGTTTTGTGTTGAAACGATATCGACTGTTCTTGGGAATCAAGGTCGTCGTCAGAAAGATTTTTGTCATCATCCAATGTTTTTTCAAACTTGGACACTTCACTATAAATCTGTTTTTCTTGATACTCGGCCGTGGTTTCTGATGAATAAATATCCCTAGTCGTTGGCTCATCTTGCTCCAAGAGTAGTTTTTCTTCGTCTTGATATATGTCTTTATCGTGTTCAATATTCTCTTCAATCTTTAGATCAGAACCTGCTAATTGTTTGTCTTCGTTTTCAATTTTTTGATCTTGATACGTAAAAATGCTATCATGTTCTTGTAGAGATCTAGAGTGATCCTCATATATTGGTTCTTCCCTACTTGGAGAAATTGCTTCTTGTTTCTTAAAAGGCTCAGCGTGCATCTGCATTGATTCCGGCAAACTTTTGTTATCATATTCTTGTAGAGGACTCTCGCGATCATCGTATATATCCTTGCATGGAGATATTCTGTCTTGCTCTTTAAAGGAATCAATTTGTTCTTGCATAGTTTCTTGCATATTTCTACTTTCGTATTTTTCTACAGGACTTTCGCGATCATTATACAAATCTCTTCTTGGAGAGAGTGTTTCTCGTTCTTTAAGGAAATCGGTTTCACTTTGCATTGATTGTTGAAAACTCGTATTATCGTACTCTTGCAAAGGACTCTGACGATCTTCACATACATCTTTATGAGGAGAAAGTTTTTGTTGATCATCAAAGGATTCTGTTTGTTCTTTCATCGGATCTGTTTTTTCGGCATAAAAATCCTGCTCTTTTGGTTCGTTTTCCTGAATAATATCGTCTTTCATAGTTTTCTCTTGGATCAAATCTTCTTGCATAGCTTTCTCTGTCATTAATTCTTCATCATATGTTGTTTCTTGAATAATTTCTTCTTCATGAACTTCATGAATTGTTTTTGTATGAATGACTTCTTCGAGGATTGAGTCTTTCTGAATGCTTTCCTCTTCTTCTTCCTCTTCTTCTACTTCCATAATCTTGTCCTCACGATCTTTGATAATTTTTTCCTCATCATGTAAATCTTTGCCAAATTCTTTATATGCTTCATCGATACACACTTTACTTCCTAATGATTTAGATGGTGACATCTGGAAATCGGGGTGAATCTTTTGTTCTTCTTCAAATCTATCTTCGTCAATCTCCTGCGGAGGGGTAGATTTGAGTAATTGTTCTGAAACATCCGCGAATTTCTGTTTAGAATCATATACAGCTTTTGGAGATTGTGGTTCCGAAGGAGTGGTACCACCAGAAATATTAACAAATTCAGGAAAGTCTGCTTGAATCACATTACCGTATACGGGTTGTTCAACGATTGGTCCCTCACTGTCGGATTCGTCTTCATTTTCTTCACCTTCTTCATATAATTGTTGATAACCGTCTTCACCTTGCCGTGGAAGATAATGCTCCATGAATCTACTATCAAGTTCTTCCATGCTTCGTTCATCCGGAATAGCTCCAATTTTCTCATAAAAGTTTCTCTCTCCGGGTGGTGTAGGATGTCTTATCATTTCTTCCTCCTCTTCTAATTTTTCCTCTTCGCTAAGACTTGATGATTCTTTTTCTTCACGATCATCAGATTTGTCCATTTCTAAAACATCGTCTTGGTATTTACCTTCGTAACTTTCAAATGCCTCGTCTTTCAATATTTTATCGTTTTCAGGCAAATCTTCCTCGCATTTCTCTCGCGTAGTTTCGAGAGCAACTCCTTCGTCTTCATAATCAACCTCTGCCATAGGAGTTGGACTCTTAATAGTGTCTTCTTCAATTTCAGCCTCCTTATGTGCGATATCGACGAAGAGATTGTTTTTACTAACAGGAAGCTCATCTTTAATGGGTTCGTTTTCTTCCACGGGTAAGTCTTCGTGTTTTATAGTTACGACTTTATTTTCGGTTTCGAATTCGGAAATTTTGTCTTCTTTTTCTACTTTTTCTTCTAATATTTCATATTCTTCGTTGTTCTCTAGAGCCATCACATCATGCAGGGATTCTTTCTCTGATTTTTCTTCAATAATTTCTTCTACGGGAATTTTTTCTTCGTTACACGGGGATGTTTCCAAGATAGTGCTTTCTTTCTGAATATAATTATCTTCTTTTACTGTTTCCTGAACTTCTTCCATTAATCCTTCACAGAAACTACCTTCCATTGAAGCGTTTGCTAATAGTAAATCGGTTTTGCTTTGTTCTTCAACTGCAACACTTTCTTTAATCAAATTATCGTTAATAGTAACTTCTTCAGAAAATTTTTCTTTAGTTTCTTCAGGTAATTTTTCTTCTATTTGTTCTTTTTGCTTTTCTTCTAAGATTGGTTCAGGTTCTGCCTTTTCCTTTTCCAGAGAAGGTGATACTGCCTTAATAGGTTCTGGTTCAACATTTTCTAATTCTTTCTCTTTAGTTTGAATGTCAGCGGGTGAAGAAGAAATTTCTTCAGTAACTTTCTCATCAGAAATTTCTACTTTAGCAGGTATTTCAGCGAGTTTTGCAACGCCGTTAAGCTTCGGTTCTTTAGCTGTTTCCTTATTTTCTAGTGGTGTCTCTTTCTTTGCAGTTGTTGTAGTAGATACTTTAGAAACAATTTTCTTTACTTCTGTTTTAGTAGGCTTAGATGTATCTGTTTTTGCAGTTTTAGTCGTTGTTTTCGTTGAAGATTGTGACTTTGTTATTGGCTTTGGTTTATGAGTTTCTGTTGTAGGTGGTGATTTTTGTTTGAGAAGTTCAGGTTTTCTCTTTGCGGTTTTGATTTCGACCGTTTTCTTATTCGTTACTTCTTTCAAGCCTTTAGATTTAACTTCAGTAACTTTAGGTGTAGGAGATGTTTTCTTTATTTCTGTTGGCTTTGCTGGTGTTTTTTTCTCTTTAATGTCTTTTTTGGTTGTTGTGGAGGTGAGAGTCGTAGTTGTTGATCTTCTCGTTTCTTTCTTTTCCTTATTTTCTATAACATGCTTATAAGGCTCTTTCTTAATTGGAGTTTTCGAAGTTCTCTTTTCGATGATTTCCTTTTTTGATTCTGTTTCTGTCGTTTCTTTTTTTGATCCCAATGACTCTGTACTTCTACCTGTGCCGTTAGTTACGAGTGGAGAAGTTTTGATCGATGGTCCCTTCGATAACAGTTTTGATTTTGGCTTTTCAACGATCGTAGGATGTAGAGAAGAATAAGAACAAACTGGTTTCTTTAAAACATCTAAATCTTTTAACTTCTCCAATCCTTCGAATATTCTGTTCTGTGGTGCACTTCCAGAAAAGAATATTCTTGTAATTGTGTCTTTAGGATTAGCGGGTCTCCATACAATCAATGAACAAATTGAGAGCACATGTGAAAGCGGAATAGATATTTCTTGTTCCTGGAATTTAACTCCAGCTTTTACTTTACTAAATGTTTCTTTACGAGAAGCCCATTGCTGGAGGAATTCTTTAACTTCTTTACTATCTTTCTGCGGACTCAATGTATACATCTCCAAAGTCCCATGGCCAACCTTTTGATACAAAGTAAATGGATCCATGTTTGTTACGTCTCTCAGACATCTGTGAGGTTTCATATTTAATTCCATTAGATTGTTTAGAAAGGTGTGGCCTTCATTCACAACACTAACCAACAAATCATTTTTATCTTTTGTTATTTCATCGTTTGGTGTTGGTTTTCCTTCCATGACATTACAAAATACATAACCAATCTGCGGGTAAATATTATTGATAGCTTTCCTTTTCATTAAAGTTGTAATTCCGCACACGTTACTCTCACATAATCTTGTTACCATTACAGCGTCGAGTCGATCCAGATGTCTTATGAATTCCCAGAAACACGGTTTCCTATTGAAACCACCGTCGATAAGCATGTTAAATCCATTAATTCCGAATAAAGCACAGTCACCTTCTCCACCAGGAAACACATACAGAGTAGGTCTATTGAAGCGTATGTTACCAACTAAAGGCGACAGTGTCATAATCTCTTCTAAAGTATGACTGACGAGTGCCGAATCCAAACATTGGATAAGGGCTGGCATACCTGGAAGACTATCAATTTTATCAGCTGGATTTAACTGTAGTTTAATTAGTTTCTGAATGGCTTGCTTCTGAAAATTAGCGGAGGTCCATTCGCCTTCTTCCGTACAGTGAACATGAAAAGTTCCACCTTGATTGTTCTGTAGTTCTTTTTGAACATCGGCATCTTGAAAGGCATCGATGAAATTTGAAAACTTGAATGCTCCGTTTTGTAATATCCACGATCCAGATCCAGTAAAAGAATAGCCAGCGTAAATCAAATGTTTGTGGCCGGTTCTCGCCAGAAGTAGATTTTTCAAACATTGCTTCAACGTACTTACTTGAGGGTTGATCAAAACTTCTACAGCTAATGTCTCAGTTGAATGTTGAATTAGAAGTTCTACAAAATCAGCAAACAATTGAGAATTAATGCTTTCTTCTAAAATTATCAAAACTTTTAAATTTATACATTTGAAATAATTAGAGAAATTCATTTTGTTTTCATTTCAATTAAATAATTACAGTATTTTTTAAATTAAAAGTTGTGCTTAAATTTATAAAATATATTATATAAATGATAGACAAAATATACATTAATAATCTTTTCATATAACTTATTAATTTTAATCACAGAATATAATTCCATAGCTAGAAAATGTTGTGCAATGCTGTATAACTTATAAACATATTAAATCATTGCATAACATTTTCGTGAAATGGCATTATTTAGAGAGTGTGTATATAAATTAATGTAGTTGCTACATATATAAATTCTGTAAATCGTATCATTTTTGTTCAAAGATATTTGAGTTTACATCGAGGAAATATTATGTTTCATAGTTTCATCTAACGCATCGATATGTCCAGTTTCACAATGGTGTCAGTTGAAATCGAAAGGACCTATGGAGAACAAAAAAGAAAATTCGTAGACCAAGACTATCACACGCTGATAATGTGGTTCACCAACTACGCTTTAAAAAACTGGTTTGAAACTAAGTAAAAAAAGGAAAAGAATAGTCTGTGACTTGCATGAATTGCGTCTTTTGTATAAGAATTTTCTAATTAAGAATTATGTAATTCTAAAAGTCACTGTATATCCAGCAATTAAGAAAAAATGTTAGATCAAGAGATTATTTAATTGGAATAAAATTTCTGATGAATAAGGATTTCAACTTTCGGCGAAGGCCATTTTCAATCACGTATTTGTATTATTAAGCAATATATATGAAATTATAACATGAAGTAATATTTAAAATAAATTATATTATATAATTAATATAGTTGAAGATAATTAGTGTGAAATTTTCTCAATTATATGTGTAGATACAATACAAAGCAGAATATTTTATCGGAAGCATAAGCCCGTCCTTCGTATCGTGACTACATTAAGATTTAATCACAAAAATAACAAATAAATACTACAAGTTCATATTGATCCGAAGCTATTTTATCAAATAATAAATCCTTCGGGTTCGATTAGAAGTCTTGTAAAGATAACAAAGTTTTCCTCGTTTACATCGATCATAAACCTCGTGAAGAGATCCTACTAATCATTCTCTCATTAGATAAGAGAAAAATCTATTTAATTTCGAATCTGAAGTTTTTAAAGTATTATGAAATAAACAGAAACGGAAAGAATCGGAAATGCTTGATAAAGCGATGAGTTAATATTTTTTGCACGAACTTATTTGAAAATGATATTCAACGTCGTCATTAACATCGATAGCAACTGAGATATCAATATTCTGTTAGAATTATTTCGAAAAATTGTATTTAAGCAAACTTCTTTAAGCTCTTATATATTTTAGAAGAGATAAATATTTTGTGTTTAAGCATTGCTAGCAAATAAAATTTGAGGAAAAAATATAAAAATACTCTATATATAGATGCATAATACACTTAGATACTATCAGGCATTTAAATTTAATTACATTTCTAAGTCTTAAACAGGTTTATTTTCAATCTAAAGTTGAATTTAAACTAAAATAATTTATTCTTAACGATAATTCATATTTCCTTGTTAATTTTTATAATTCCAATCACGCAAAACTTGAAAAAGATAATTAAATGATATAGATATATTTCCTCATTCTTTAAGATATCCTATAATTTTTACTTCATAAATGAATAATTATAGTAATTATTATTCACAAAAAATTAAACACAGAGAAGATTATCAGTTTAATTATTTATGGAATGAATTAAAGAAGCTTTTGATTAATGTTCTGATAATCCCCATTAGTACTATTTTATTTAATAATCCATTCATTTATCGGCGATTCTTAAAAAGATGGTAATAGAAAGCAAAATATTTAATGAATTCGGCGTTTAATTCTAAATGACAAGGAAGTTTCTTATCAGACGAGTTTTTATACTTTTAAATATTGGAATCTATCCAACTTTAACAATGTATAATTGAGTAAGAAAACCAAATAAAGGTCAAAATTGTACATATATATCTGAATTTTAAAATTTAAGACTGAAAAAAAAACATGTTTATAATATAATTTTTATGGGTTTAATATTTTATTACATTTCAAACCTATAAAAAATTTATCAGTGACATTTCACAATGCGAATTACAAAACATAAATAAAAAATTTAATAAGTTTTTATTATAATTTTAAACAGAGAAAAATCAAAATTCTATTGATTATTTACTCGTTAACAATGAAATAATTGTGATAATCTTACCATTCTCGGTATCACTTCCATGCTTGACATTGTTGCAGACGTTTTCAAGTTCAGATAAATCACATCCTGTAGTTTTCGTGTCCCAGGATAACAGACCTAATGATAAACAAAGAGTTCATTACTTCAGATTTATCTAAGAGAAATATGGCTTATCACTCAAATTGTTTGCACTATAAAATTTATAAACTAATATCAAGACTAAACAAAACCTATTTTTTCTTTATTTTCTGTGTAATTAGATAAACTTAAACCCTTTTTGGTCTCTTATTCCGTAGAGAATTACAAACTCGATTTTTACAAATTTAATACAGGCTGAGAAGTATAAGAAAGTTTATAAATAACATTTTCTGTAGATTGCAAGAAAACTTAAGTAATGAACGAATGTCACGTATCTACTTTTGGTGTTTTCTGTACAGTTTTCTAGAAAAGGAAAGAACCTTTTCGATGAATGAAATGTTATCCAGGTTGTAGCAGTTCCTTGTAAAAATATAATCACGGATTTGGCAATCATCGAATTGTGGATATTTTAATCTATGTGAAATGCCATTTCTTATATATATATATATATATATATACTTT